AAGGGTCGAGTGGCACAAAATTTGGATTATGACACAGCATTTGCCTCTCGGTATGAAGACGATCCCGACAAAAAGTATTTGGTCGATGCCACCAAGTATTGGTTCCCGAATGCCGAAGTCCCGTGTTTTATGTACATGTCGTCGGAAGGGATTTTAGTTCAGCGGAATATGGATGGAGATTTAGTGACTGGTTTCAAACCGACTCCGGGATTAGTTCGCCTACTGTTCGGCACCAATCAAGAAATTCTGGGTCAAAAGTATGATATCAATGATTTAGCCACCTATCAAAGCATTTTGCGGTACGTGTATGGCGATTCCGTGGATCCGAGTGACAAAGACTTAGATGGTCGATTGAAAGTCTTTGCCAAACGTACGGTTGTGGAATCGAGTGCAGAGGCGAAAGGTAAGAAACAAAGTCAAGAGGAAATCAAGCAACAATTATCGGAATCCATTACCAAGCAAGAAGGCGCCCGCAAACGTGGAAAGGCCGACCAGGGTATTAATGCCAATATTGCGGACCTGGCGAAGAAACTGTCGGAATCGGGAAAGGAAAAGGCATCGACTCGCGCCAAACCGAAGCGCGCGACGGAACATGATGGGGAACATGAGATTGGTGACGCGCCACTCAGAGAACCAACTGCCAGTTCCTCGAAAAACCAAGGAGGTATCCACGTCGTCCGAGGCCTCGGAGTCACCGGAAGGGGATCACAAGTGATTCCGTTCGGAAAGTATGAAATTTTACAAGATAAATTGAAAAATGGAGTACTGAGTGTTCGATTGCAATCCAATAAGACGAAATTACGAGCCTGGCCCAATCGACTGATTTCTTCGGGCGCCGTTTATGTACTGACGCACGTGAATCTCCACAGCAATAAGTTTGAGCACCTGTCGGACGAGGAAGCCATCATGCTGAACAAATTATTCACATCCGCCGGAGTCACGCCGTCCCCATCGCAAGCGAAAGAGTTGGCTCGCACCAACGGCGGACGCGTTTTTGTGGAGTCGATTAAGGATTTGCGAGCGAAACTGAGTGTCTTGCTCGGTGAAGTTCAAGCGGGAAATACGTCGGTCGAGGTCAAAAACGATATTGCGAACATCGCCAATTTCTTGAACAGCAGAAAAGTATTGGCCAAGAAAAAGCTTGCGGAAATCCTGGAGTTTATTCAGTAATTCTTTTTAAAAAAAATTCGTCCCTTAGAAAAGATGGACGAATTTCCAGTTACAATCTCGTTTGTGGGTGATACCACACCCCGCATTACCAACAAAATTACCAATACGCTCCTGACGAAAATGGTTTTACCGGTGGGGACTCAAGTGGCGCTTAGTAATGCGGTGATTCCGTATTCCTGGACCAATATCAGTGCCGAGTTGGGGAACAATACGTATCAGTACAACAACGGCTCGACACTCCGGACCGTCACCATGCCGGACGGAATGTATTCGTATGAAGCGATGGATCAGTATTTACGCGCCACCATGGATTCGAATAGCGATTACGACACGGATGTGAATGGGTTCCGAGTGTATCATATTCGATTCTACACCAACACGGTGTTGAATAAATTATCGGTCGTGATTGATGGTGGATATTCGTTGATTATTCCGAATACTCCGTTCAAAGTGACCACCGGACTAACTCCCGGAACATACACGACGTCGGTCAGTTCGCAAACGTTACCGGTGATCAATACCGCGAATCAAGTGTCGCTTCGATGCTCCCTCGTCAGTAATCCATATGCCAATCCGGATGAACTGTTTCGATTTTCACCCGATGTTCCACCGACCGACATTATTCATTTGGAACCGGTCAATCTACAATGGACGCCGTGTAGCAATGGAGGATTCCGAGAGATTTCGATTTCGGTGCATGACGAGAATGGAAACCCCATCACCTTGGTCGATAAAAAGATCAGTTACACTTTGAAATTCCGAGTCCCGATCATCCCAGAAAAGCCGTGAAAATAAAAATAATAAAAAAGAATTTTACTATTAAAAGAAAATGCGACAACAAACTGTCATCGTACCCACTCAGGGCGTCATTCGCACGCACCAAAAAGTGGGTTCCGGAGTCTTCACCGATCTGACCAAATCGTTGCTCGAGAAAACGAAAAAGGCCGTCATCGATACGGTCAAAGGTTCTAATGATAAATTGGCGAGCTTGGTGGTGGATAAAGCCAAATCCACCATCGCCACGAAGGCCAAGGAAATTATCAACGCCGGAAACAAAGTCCATACCGACGTGAAAAACAAAGTCGATCCCGTAGTGAAGAAAAACAAAGAGATTAGTGAAGCGATTCTGAACGAGCTACAATCGACATCCACTCGCGTGAATCTTCCGAAAAGTACATCCAATCCGCTGAATATCGGTCGAGGTGTAAGCATCGCTGGAATTAAACCGGGTCGTGGAGTGTCCATCGCCGGACGTGGTTCGACATCGGGTGGTGCGATTAATCTCATCGTGTAAAAATAAAAAGATAAGAAACATAAAAACTATAAAAAAAGATTTTTATGTTGTTAAAAATGACCGCCGATATCACCCGCGATTATCAACTGGCCCAAATGCTCTTGGGCGCCGATGCCGTCCCTGAGCGTCTGGAATCCTATGCCACCAAGCGACTTCGCCCCACCGCCGTCGTGAGCCAATATTCCAACATTTTTGAGTTCCGAACCAACGATTTCTCCAACGATTGGCTCGATATGGGAAATGCAACGGTGACTCTGACAATCAGTATGGTGTCCGCCAACGCGAATACTGCCGTGCTCACCAAGAATGGCGCGTATAGTGCGATTGAACGAACTATCGTCAAGTTGGGCAACGACAAGACCGTATATGAAGATAACTGGGGTCCTCTGCACCGACACCTGAAGAATGTGATGACGATGAGTAAGGATTATGCCCGTAATTACGGCAGTTCCTCCGGTTATGCACTGGACACCAGTATTCTTCCGCAAATCACTGATCAACCGGTTATCGGAAACGAAAATCTGGGAGCCATCTCTCGATTCAACATTCAAGCCGTGAGCGGTTCTGTCAATGCCGGCGTCCGCACCACCACGTATCAAATCCCATTGAAGGAGTTTTCTGACTTTTACGAGAAATGTCCTCCGACGATCGGTATCAATCATTACGTCTCACTGTATCCGAATAAGTCGCTGTTCGCATTCACATGTCGTTCCAGTGTGGATGGTGCTCCGCCGGTTTCGCCAGCATCTCCGACCGCCTATGTGAGCGAGATCTATATGGACATTCCGTACTTCAATTGGGGTCCGAGTAACTTGGAGATCATACCAGCCGCGAAGATTAAGAGTGGTCTGGAATTTATCATGTCG